GTAGATAGATCAACTATATATTGATCTATATCTAGTTTGTTTTGGTGAGTGTTAAGAGAGTATTCAAACAATCTTTGAACCCTTGAGAGATCCGAAGGCTTTGTGAAAAAAGTGAAGAAAGAATGGCAGAGATCGCTGTATCCTTTCTGATTGACCAACTAAAACCCTTGCTTCAAAAAGAGGCAGGACTTTTAGGTGGTGTTCGGGAAGAAGTTGTGCCCATCAAAGATGAATTGGATCGCATGAAGGCCTTCTTGAGAGTTGCCGATGCCAAAGAAAAGGATGATAAACAACTCCAAGTTTTGGTTGAGCAACTGCGAGAGGTTGCTTATGACACCGAAGACGTTCTTGATGAATTCATGCTCCGGTTGGCGCATCATCACGGGGGTGGATTCTACGGTTTTCTCCATAAGATTGCTTGCTCTATTAAGAGCTTGAAAGCTCGCCATCAAATTGCTTCTAAACTACGAAAAATCAAAGCCAGATTTGACAATATTTCTAAGAGTCTTGAACCATTTAGAAACATTGAGCAAGGGTCGAGCTCTGCTGTCATTGGCGACACATGGAGTGATGGTCGAGGTGATGCACTTCTAATAGAAGAAGGTCAGCTTGTGGGCATCGAGGAGCCCAAAAAACAACTGATTGGTTGGCTTCTTGATAATGATTCTCCACTCAAAGTGGTTTCGGTGGTGGGAATGGGAGGATTAGGCAAAACCACACTGGTGAAGAAAGTCTTCGAGAATGAACAAGTAAAGGCACAATTCCAAATCCACGCTTGGATCACTGTTTCACAGTCATTCAACATGGTGGAGCTCCTAAAGAACATGATCGAACAACTCTATAATGAAGCTAAGAAAGCACTACCCCAAAGAATGGAAACCATGAATGACAATGAGCTGAAAGAAGTCATCAAAGAATTCCTCCGGGAACAAAGGTACGTGGTTGTTTTAGATGATGTATGGAGCATAGTTGCATGGGATGGCTTCAAGCATATATTTCCTAACAACAATTGTGGTAGTTGTGTAATCGTTACCACTCGTACACTTGATGTAGCAAAAGCATCGTGCTTAGAATCCCTTGATTATATCTATAAAATGAAGTNTCACCACTCGTACACTTGATGTAGCAAAAACATCGTGCTCAGAATCCCGTGATTATATCTATGAAATGAAGGTCTTGTCTGATGAAAAGTCATGGGTTTTGTTTTGTAAGAAAACCTTCAAAGACAAAACTTGTCCTCCGCATTTAGAAAAAATTTCACGAGAAATATTAGGGAAGTGTGGGGGATTGCCACTCGCAATTGTGGTACTCAGTGGTGTTTTGGCTTTGAAGGACACAAGCAGAATTGATGAGTGGATGATGGTTCAGCGGAATCTCGGCGGTGAACTAGAAGACAATGACAAACTTGAGAGGATAAACAAAATATTCTCTCTCAGTTATTTTGATTTGCCTTACTATCTCAAAATTTGTTTCTTATACTTGAGCATTTTTCCTGAGGATCACGAGATTGAAAAGGGGCAAGTGATTCGACTATGGGCTGCGGAAAGATTTGCACAAGAGAAAGAAAGAAAGTTGGCAGAAGAAGTAGCAGAGGGCTATTTTAATGAACTTCTAAATAGAAGTTTAATCCAAGTCTTGGAGGAAAAAAATAAATTTATTTCAACAAGATATCGTATCCATGATCTTTTGCGTGACTTTATTATCATAAAGTCGAGAGAGCTGAACATTGTAACTCTGGCCAGCGGAAAAGTATCGNTCCAACAAGATATCGTATCCATGATCTTTTGCGTGACTTTATTATCTCAAAGTCGAGAGAGCTGAACATTGTAACTCTGGCCAGCGGAAAAGCAATATGGTGTCCACAAAAAGTTAGACGGCTAGCACTGCACAACTCCTCAAGAAATGTAGAAGAAAACCAGTGTTTTGGACGGCTTCGCTCTCTGCTCGTAGTTGGGAAAGANCTACACAATGCACATAATTGAAAGCAGAGGCTTTAACAATAACAAACATAGTAAATACCAGCCAACAACAATTCTCTTGCCTGAGAAACTCCAAGGAATATTCATATGTAGAACCCACAGACGGCAAAAAAGGCACCAAAGGCTGATTTTTCAACACCGTACCAAAAATTATGACTTAACTAGATGACNTCAGATATCTAAGCTTGAGGAATACAAATGTGAAATTCATTCCAGGATCAATTGGAAAGCTTCGAAATCTAGAAACCTTGGATTTGGAAGGTACAAACTTAACAGAGTTGCCTATCGAAATAGGAAAGCTTCGGAAACTTCGATATCTTGTGCCTAATACGGGGGTTGTATTCCCGGTGGAAATAGGGAATTTGTCATTCCTGCAAACGCTCGGAAGGATCGAGGCAGGCAAAGTCAATGGCAACATTATAATGAGAGAGGTGGGGAAACTTACCCAACTAAAATCTTTGTATATTTCAGGGTTGAGAACAGAAGACGGAAAAATCCTATGCTCGTCTCTTGAAAAATTGGGCAACCTCCGTACATTGTGGGTTGAAGCACATGCACCACGAGGAAAATGGAATGAGTTTGAGTTGCTTGATCTGAAGACATTATCTTCGGGTCCTCCACTTCTACAAAAACTTTACTTGTTTGGACATCTAGAGGAGACACCACATTGGATAGCTTCTCTTCATAGTCTGGTCTTGGTAAATCTAGGGTGGAGCAAATTAAGGGATGACCACCAACTGCAATGGCTACAAGATTTGCCAAATCTCCAGCTTATGTCATTCCATCATGATGCGTATGTTGGGGAGGAATTATGTTTCAAGGCTGGAGGATTTAAGAGTCTCAAATATTTACGGCTTTCCTTTTTAGAAGAACTGAGATGGGTGAGATTAGAGCAGGGCGCCATGCCTCATCTTGAAGATCTAACAATTTGGTACTGTGATTTGATGGGGTATCCAATTGGAATCGAACATCTAACCAACCTTCGATCAATTTCGCTACATCTAGTGGATAAATTAAAGCCTCAGAACTTGTCAGATAGAGATAGAGATGATGTATGGGATGACAACAAACTTGCAAACATCCCTCATAGGGATATCTGGAGTTGCACGGACGTCTTGGAATAAAAAGGAGAAGTTGAAATCACTGTCTCGTGGCTAGACTCGTGGTGGAGGTGGTGGTCGTGGTCTAGGCATTATGTTATAATTTTGGATTGATATCATCTAGTGATGTAATATTTGAAATAATATCAAGATCTCTTATTACCATGTGCAATCTTTGGTTAAGCCTCTACTTCAAATTTGTTTTTCTCTTTGGCTAAAGATCTTAAGCTGTCAAAATTGATAGTCTCTCAACCAAATTTGCTTGATTAAATGGACAATTAATTCAAATCTTGCACGATGCTTCTCCCTCGATAAGATGGTATTCGTGATCAATGTGTTCTTCTCCATACAATCCATGAACACCACCAATTTCTCAAGCTCACCATAGAACCAATGCCGCCAGTTGTTATGGTACTTATTTATTTATTTATTTGGGCGGGTAAGTTATGTTTGAACATTATTAATCAACCAAAGCATGTAGAGGAATAATAGAGCAGACCTTCTAACTCCAACCGAGCCCTTAGGTATACATATCTTTAGGCCACAAAAAAAAAAATTCAATGCAATAATTGAAAATTTCCCCATTAAGATCTAAACATCACTGCTAAGAAATTAACCTAGCATCGAAAATACCCCATTGAAAGCTTAAAATCCAATGCTTGTGTGTATTGCTAAGTTCTCTCTATTAAGCAGCTTTTATTCTAACAAAAGCCCGAAAAGCCTTTTAATTTCTCCCGGCCCAAGTTCCTCACTATAGAAAGAAATGATTATATTTTTCAAGTAAGGGCGTTAATTGAGTCGAGTATTGTGAGTTTGAACTCGAGCTTGTCGAGTTCATTTTTTTAAACTGAGTCTAAAAAATTGTTCAAATTTAGTATTTTTAAAAAATGACCCGAATCCTAGCCCCCACGCTCGGGCCGAACCCAAGTAGTTCGACTATTTACATATAAACAAGTCGAGCCTTTCAGACTCATTTTTCTAAACCAACTTAAAAAATTGTTCATGTTTAGCTCATTTAAAACCCGAGTCAAATCCGAGTAGTTTGTCTAGATTAACATCTCCTGATTTTCTAGTGCGAGATTTGCTTTGTAGGATTGGATAGGATTTGGGAGGTGAGATTTGGCAAAATAGTCCAACAAGCCTTAAAAACTTTGTTTGGTTAGAGGTGTTAGGACCGGGATTTAGAGAATTTTTAGTCTAAGGCACGAATGCTGCATACTATAGTTGATTGAAGCCCACATATGTAGGTTTAGGTTTGAGCAAACTTGAGGGAGGTTTGGATTTGAAGGATGGGTAGCCTGGATGAGTACGTAAAACCATGTTCGTACTCCAAACATGAATATGAATTATATTGGACAATGAACAATTTTATTAATTCCATATAAGCAAATGATCATAATGGTTGCGGTTGATTTAACATCTATCTGTACTAACGTACGCGGGAAAAAAAAAATAAATTGTGGGTCTCATGTGAACTTAAATAACTCAAATACTCTCAAATATCTTCAAGAAATTATTTGGAAGCACGTTGCTTCCCCACTCCTCTAAAAAAACAGAGTCCCCCTCTTTCACCATAATTTTGGTTGAATAATTAGGATCAAATGAAATTATTCCATTCGAATGATTTCTCGTAAACATTCACAATAATATGGATAATATTGAATAATTGTCAAAATATTACATTATATTGTTTTTCAAATTGTAGAAAAAACTAGAAGCAAACAAGTTGTAGCTAACAATTCTAAATTGGGTAAATCTCACTCACACCCCCTAGATTTAAGTAATTTTTATTTACACGCCCTCTGATTGTTAAAATATCACTGCACACCCCTATAATGTATATAACATTCCACAAACCACCCCAGTCGTCTATGCCGTTAGTGACAACCAACAAAAGTTGTGATGTAGTAATGGCTTATTTTCTTGGGAGTTATCAATTTTACCATTGACCATATAGCACTTACTACTTAAAAGTAGTGGACATCATCTCATATTAATTTGATCACATTAATTGTTAATTGGATTAAATTGAACGTCAATTTGATCAAATTAAACATTAATTTAAAAAAAATAATAAAATTAAATGTTAAATTCATAAAATTGAATGTTAATTTAATACAATTGAAAGTATATTTTATATTAAATTAAAGAAATGACATTAATTTAATAAAAAAATTAAATGTTCGATTCTTGAAATTGAATGTTAACTTTATAAAATTAAATAAAAATTTAGTATTGATCGATGAAAATGAAGGTTAATTGGGGATTAAATTAAGGAAATGTTGTTAGTTTGATAAATTGAATGTTAAATTGATAGAATCAAATGTAAATATGACAGAATTAAAGGTTAATTTTGTGTTAATTTGATAAAATTTAAGACTAATTTTATGTAAATTTGGTAATTTGATGAAATTGAAGTTCAATTTGATGAAACTAAATCCTAAATTAAATAAATTGAATGTTAATTTGTCAAAATTGAATATTATTTGGTGTTAATTTGATAAAATTAGTATTTTAATAAATAAAATTAAATATCAATTTGATGAAATTGAAGTTCAATTTGATGTTAATTTGATAAAACTAAATTTTAAATTAAATAAATTGAATGTTCCTTTGACTTTAATATAATAAAATTAAATTTAAAAATGTTAATTTGATTAAATCGAATATGAATTTGATGAAATTAAATATTAATTTGGTGATAAATTAAATTTAGTATTAGTGTGGTTAAATTGATTATGAATTTGATGAAATTTAATATTAATTTATAGTTAAATTAATAAAATAAGTGTTAGTGTGATGAAATTAATATTCAAATTAATAAAATTAAATATCAATTGGATAGAATTGAAGTTCAAATTGATATTAACTTGATGTTAATTTGATATAGAGGTTTGTAGGGATTAATAATTTATACATATAATATAAGTAAAGGTTAGTAAAATGACGTGATCTATCAAGGATAATTTTGTAAAAGGCCATTTTACGGTTATTGACAAAGAGTGGCAGTGAAATTTTAGAAAACACGGGTTGTTTATGAAATTTTGCTTATATACAAGGTGTTAGTGAAATGTACCCTTCTAAATAAGATTTCTAAATTCCATAAAAGATCAATATAAAATAATAATTAGCACAAAACGAAATTAGTCAGACATGACACAAGCCCAACTAAACCTCTCACAAACCCAGATCTTAGACCTTATAAGCCCTGAAAGGTAACCTTTGCCTATTCAAATGCCTCTTTTAAGGCTTGATCCCCTGAGTTCAGGCAATCCAGAGAAATAACCAGTTCTCTACATACATCACTCTGTTCTAGTGGAATAACAATGCACTTTTCAATCCTAGGTTTTGACCATACTCTAAACAAATAACACCAAAAAGACTTGATGGCTATAAAACACGGACACTCTCGAGAAAGTGACGTATTCGTATCAAACACATGTCAGACATCAACACTCTTTACTCTCGGATACATGTCCATGCTTCTTAGCTCGATGGCATAGGTGGAAAAAAAAACAAGATAGATAAAAGGAAAGAAAGAAGACTCACAGACCCGAAAATTAAAGAGACCGCCATTCAAAAGTGATCGAGTTTTATGATAGGGTTAATTGCGCAACATGATAACGTGTAAGCATCTGACCATGCACTACACAATGCACATAATTGAAAGCAGAGGCTTTAACAATAACAAACATAGTAAATACCAGCCAACAACAATTCTCTTGCCTGAGAAACTCCAAGGAATATTCATATGTAGAACCCAAAGACGGCAAAAAAGGCACCAAAGGCTGATTTTTCAACACCGTACCAAAAATTATGACTTAACTAGATGAGATTACGACTCAATAGAGTCCCTTGGGATCAAACCTAAAATGTTAGCATCGATCTTAAGTTTTTTTTGAATCATAACTTCACCCGATTGAGTCGTAGTGGACTTTTTTAGATGTAACTCAACTCTAATTGAGTTTTACCTAACCACTATTGACTCGTAACTTTAGGTACCAAACACGATACCACAGCCATTCCGTAGAGCCTAACACACACAGGAGACCACAAAAACCTACACAGGCAAATGTCACAAGAACCCAAAGTGAGCCCAGAAGAGAAGTTCAAAACCTGGGAAACTCTGCATTATGAGCAATCAGCAGTCTTGATAACAGCTTGAAAAACTCTGGTAGGCTCTGTCAAAACTAAGCCCTTAGGGGCTACATCTTCCAAAAACATTGGTGCTTTGCACTCTTCAAACTAGTCATTCCTTGCAGCTTCCTTTCTAAGGGAGCTGATGTTGGTCCCATGGCGAGACTTCTTCAGGACAAGCTTTCTCCTAAAAAGGTGAACACCCTTTTTTTAAATACCCGAGCTAAGTCCACAATTTCAGATTCTCTGATTTGCCGAGTCAACTTGTCAGACTGCCATAGCCATTTGCCTTTGCGGGATAACCTGTTAGCTACATCCAAGGTCAAAGAGGCCACATCTCGGCTGTTCGTTAGTATTCTGAAAACAGGAGTGGAGTACTGCGGATTTGATGCTAGTCTATTCAGAAGGATAAGTGCCTCTCGAATTAGCAAGGTCCTGCCAAAGAAAAACGATTCACGATTTAAGTGGCCAACATAAATAAAAACAGTAAGCTGGAATCAGCAATTTCTTCCTGAATTCACATAACATCCCAGAAAAAGTTTAAGAATAACATATAAATAGATTGAATCAGTGTGTCATTCAAAAAGTTGCAAAGAAGTCAAATGAATGGGAAGTCATTGCAATTTAACCCAAGAAGAATGCATATACGTTATATACAACATAAAGATAACAAAAATAACTTGGGATGTCATATTTGAAAGCATTCGCTGCATTCCATTTTGTTTTAACACGATTACACCAATGAATCTGCGGAGTCAGCCAAAATAAAGAAACTAATAGAGTCATAGGCAAATTTACAAAAACTGATGAAAAGAACATTACGACGAGAACTTCTAAGAAACCATAATGACACTATTTTAGATGATGAGCAAAAGAAGAAGGAACAGATGCACATTTTAGCAAACAAACACAACAGATCTGCTACATACACTAAACATGCATACCTTTCTTTGAAAATTTCAGGCAGCTGAGTACATTCTGATGCTTCAATGTCCATCTCTGATGCCAAAATGTGCAAAATCAATGTAAGAAAGTCACTCCTTTTCGGAAGCCTATGACCCAAGACAATTTCAAAGCCAGCTTTTCCGGACGATGCTAAGAAAGCCAGAACAATGATAGCATTTCTTCGGAGTTTCAACTCCTGAAAGTTTGACAAATTTGAAAATAAGTAGCATTCCAAACTGAGTATTTAATTGAAGTGAAATAGACAGTAACACACGAAAAAACACATAATGACTCAGATCAGTTCCAGGTGCCACAATTGCATACCTCAAGAAGAATGTACATGTATCTATACATACATATATTGATCGGATCTGCTTACAAACTTATGAACAAAAGGAAAATGTTTTCAAATATGTGGTTGGCAACTGCCTAAGAACTAAGAGGAGATGGCAATTGGGAGGTTGAGATAGGTAACCTACAATCCAACTCAGGAAACAAGAGTGAAACCTCTACTTCCCATTCAGCTACATACATGGCAGGGCATGCCGAGTAAAAGCTAATTATAAAAGCACATAATTCCTGACAAAAAACTGAAGATCCCTTTGGAACTCCTGAACTAGGGGAAGAAAAGGAAAATTGTCAAAAATGCTTTACATGATTAATTTGGAGAACGCCCAAGAACTTTATCTTCCTTTTTCATTTGTTCCATCCGAGATCACAGACCTACAAATGCAACAGGGGGGCCAGCGAATTGAAAAATCTAGAACCAATCACTCGGTCAGTGCGATTTCTAGTTGAGAGCTAATGAAGTGAAACTGCACTAAAATAAAGCCAGCAGATTCAGTGACTATTTGCTTACATGCTTTTACTTCCTGATATACGCCTAGTTATGTTACCATTAAGGGGGGACTAGGTGGAGTAGACTGGATCCAAATCTAACATTTGGCATTATCTTCAGACTTCAGGTTCAAACCCAGAACCTAGGTTATTATGGGTATGATGACTTGAAATCATTTAGCTCGAGAATGCAACTAGGACAAGTTAAATATCAAGAGTCAAACTTTTGACTGCATTTGAATAAAACAATTTAGATACCACACCTACCTGTGCACCATTTCCACTGCAAGCTACACAATCAGCCAAACCATCAAGTATCACACTGAAACCTTGAAAAGATGAGGCATGTGCTGCATCATTATTTGCATCCCCAGCACTTTCCCCCTCCTCCTTATAAGTGGAACAGAATATCGCCATTAGTTCTGGACCTTGATCAACACAGTAACATGAGTTAGGAAAGTCGATACATATATGGCATATAAGTTAGTAGACAGAAGTGCTATTAACATATTGAAAAAACAAGAGCTACTGGTGAATTACATAGTCTTTGAACAAACTCTGATTACATATTTTTTGGAACAAATTGATACGCCTATTATCAAGCTTCAAAAGAAAAAATTTATAGAGATTTCGTTTTGGCAGTTTGCCATTCAAAAATGAATTCCATCATCATAATCAATAATTTCAACCAGACTCAAGCCGTGGAAGGTGAATATGAGCCAAGGCCACATCACTAAAAAGGTCATCTAAAATGGATACAATCCAGTCTGATTAATGTACCTGATCTAGTCGACTCCTCCGCATAGGAAAAAGTTCATAAGTTCCACAAATCAGGAACAAAGAGGGAATCCCCTAGAAAGTGAATATATATTTCCTGAGAGATCTGAAAAAAGGGCATGTTCCTAGGCACAGATATATAGGAAACTAAATATACAAAATTGCCAAGCTAAAATTGGATTACATGAGAATAAAATAAAACGGAGATAAGCTTGCATAGAAAGTGGGAATACTAGGGAGTGTGAACATTTCTGAGACGAGTGCAGGCAACAAGATCAAATTTAGTGAAAATGATGAGAGGAAAGAACAGTTGAGCTCACAATTCAGTAGCAGGTACAGAAGATGCACAGCTTGCTTTTGCACGCACAGACCAGCTTCCTTCCTCAACAGCTGCGACACACTTTGAAACACTAGCAACATCCCAAATCTACATCAAATAGGTCTTCATTTAGTTTAAAAAAGAGAGTAACACAAAATGTGAGATATTTGCTGTAAGAACCACTCCAAACTTACTTCTCTCTGTCCAAGTAAGCATTAGTTCTCATAAGAATCATATTCATAATAGAAACTGCTTCCAGTCTTACATATTCCTCTTTATTCCTCGTGACAATTTGGCACATAAGTTGAAAGAGAGCAATCCAATCCACACAAGATATCAACAGTGTAGATTCATGATTGCTCACTTCATTCTTGCAAGGAAATTTCAAATTGAATAATCTCGTTCCAAATGAAATAGGGCCTGAATCTGATGTCCCATTCCAACTCTCATAAAACAGGCTTCCAATTTCAGAACATTGAGATCCATACATTTCTGCCGCATTGTTTTTACATAAAAGTCCCTCAACCATGACATTTTCCCTGAGTACAGGACACTGGAAAGATCAAATCAAAGTTCATAAGCAGCAGAAAATTTGGACACAAAGGAAAAATGACAAAGAAAAATGCCCAAAAAAAAAAAGAAAAACAACAATAACAATAACAATAACAAGAGGCAAGTCAATGAACAATGTCGTTGTTAGGGTATTGTATTAATTATACCCTACGTAAGGGAATATTAGTCTTTTGGTTCTTGATCCTAATACATATATAATTTATCTACCGGTTGCGAGTAGGTAACAGAGCTACACTTTGGGAAGCTTTGGAAAAAACTCTTCCTTTCAATTTCATTGATTCAGTACTGCGTCCCCCTATGGTTGTCACATAAGAGCACTTCTTATGTCTCTGATTATTTTGCCTATCACTCCACATGCGAGTGGGGGTCGCACATGCTGGGGAATGTTGGAGATTGTCTCACATCAGTATAATAGTGCCTCCCAAACTAGAATATGAGCTTTGTGAGTCTCTACACTCANCAAATAGGTCTTCATTTAGTTTAAAAAAGAGAGTAACACAAAATGTGAGATATTTGCTGTAAGAACCACTCCAAACTTACTTCTCTCTGTCCAAGTAAGCATTAGTTCTCATAAGAATCATATTCATAATAGAAACTGCTTCCAGTCTTACATATTCCTCTTTATTCCTCGTGACAATTTGGCACATAAGTTGAAAGAGAGCAATCCAATCCACACAAGATATCAACAGTGTAGATTCATGATTGCTCACTTCATTCTTGCAAGGAAATTTCAAATTGAATAATCTCGTTCCAAATGAAATAGGGCCTGAATCTGATGTCCCATTCCAACTCTCATAAAACAGGCTTCCAATTTCAGAACATTGAGATCCATGCATTTCTGCAGCATTGTTTTTACATAAAGGTCCCTCAACCATGACATTTTCCCTGAGTACAGGACACTGGAAAGATCAAATCAAAGTTCATAAGCAGCAGAAAATTTGGACACAAAGGATAAATGACAAAGAAAAATGCCCAAAAAAAGAAAAGGAAAACAACAATAACAATAACAAGAGCCAAGTCAATGAACAATGTCATTGTTAGGGTATTGTATTAATTATACCCTACGTAAGGGAATATTAGTCTTTTGGTTCTTGATCCTAATACATATATAATTTGTCTACCGGTTGCGAGTAGGTAACAGAGCTACACTTTGGGAAGCTTTGGAAAAAACTCTTCCTTTCAATTTCATTGATTCAGTACTGCGTCCCCCTATGGTTGTCACATAAGAGCACTTCTTATGTCTCTGATTATTTTGCCTATCACTCCACATGCGAGTGGGGGTCGCACATGCTGGGGAATGTTGGAGATTGTCTCACATCGGTATAATAGTGCCTCCCAAACTAGAATATGAGCTTTGTGAGTCTCTACACTCATGACTAATTGGTTTTTAATAGAATGCTTTAACAAGTATACTTGATAGGCATGCAATATGAAAATTCACTATATGAGATAAATATGATCGATGAAGAATACTAGATGATTGTGTAATCAATGAAGACTAATTTGATTCAAATCCAAGATGGTCCAAAGGAAAGATAGACGCCCCAGAAAATAATGGGGTCGAGGTGGAAAAACAAAATTTAGAGTGCTCTTTAATTTCAAATGCATGAGAACTTTCCTATGTCATACGAAAAAACAAAAAATTATTAGGATTCCAGGTCTGCGAAATAAAAGAAACTTTATACACAGCCCGCTCAAAATATTTAGAACTAAACAGACATTTATATCTCAGTTCCCATTGAGAAAAGGATAAAAAGAATCTTAATGGCATGGTTCGGGACGACTAATAGCTGTTCCAATATGAACCAAGCTTTACGGCTGGTTTAGGATGAGTAATAGATGCTCTATATGAACCAAGCTTAACTGAAGTGCAGTTATCAAATTTTTATAATCTCATGCCATCAAACTTAGGGTAAGAGAAACTTGTTCAGTAAGCATACGGCGTGCCAAATAATAAGAAAGTATAAGCAAATATGGAAAATCAAAGAACATACCTTTTATTAGTTTTCCATGGAATACTGAACAAGTAATTCAAAACCATACGCAACACCCGCAGAGACCTGTAGACAATAACAACCTGTAGGCCAAGGAATTAATATTAAAACCATGGAGAAGAACAGATTCAAAAAAGGATAACATGTATGTAAACAATGGTTTTATGAATGGTTCCTATTTTGAAGCAAATAATATTATGCATGCACATATGAACATGTCATGTAAACATAATGCACACATTTATACTATTTATCTAAAATGACATAGGGTTGCTAACAAGCCAACCCAGGATGAATTTCTGCATGTCCAGGCCTCACTCAACCAAATAACAAGTGCCTAGGCTTTTGTTGAGCTGAAGGAGAGCTAAAGGACCTCAAGTTGGGAATGGTTCCAGAAATGCTTGATCGGCCCACAAAATTATGTCAACATTTCAAAACATTTCTCTCCATTCCACCATGAAATTGTTATTTTTTTTATTCAAAATTGAAAGTAAAAGGAATATAGCAAAGAGAGTAAAAGAAAAAAGTAAAAAATGGGGTAATCTCCTACAAACGGGGGACTCAGTTTGGATGTGGCTGCCTCTGGAAGTGATTTAACTAAAATATTTCTTATTTGGAATATTTACAAGAGCCCAGTGAAAGCTCAAAGAGCGCCATTAAATGAGCCTTGAACCAACTGTACAATGTCAGGCTAGTGGCTCAGCTGAGGAGCACGGTGAGAAAGGTTTCCACTTTCAAGCAATATGGGATAACCAAAAGAAGCACCTTTATATACTCTGATAGTTCAGAAAGCTTCTTGACTCAAGATTAATGTGGAACCACCTAATCTTAGGAACAGATAATTGACACCATGAAGTTTCCCTCTTCTGTTTGAGAACAAATTGTCAGTGATACAAGCGAAGATACATGACATTATGCATTTCGGGTTGCTTTATTTTTTTCACACCCTCAACCAAAAACCGAACCAGAAAGAAAAATGGTTCTCCACTAGTTCGAACAATAACCAAACTGTGTATCCAAAAAGCAGAACCAAACCAACATAAGTGGGCTATACCAATTCAGGTTTCAGGTTCACCGGGGCTCCCCCACCTCTTCTAAGGATGGACCTTCTAAATGCTTACGATGATCGCACCCCACTTCTACTTCTTTCTCATTTTCTTCTGTCCCTAAAGGTACTATTGCTGAGTCACAATCAGCATCCCTAAATCAGCCCATTAACTTAACAACTCTGCCCTGCCAAGCCCAATTCCCACCCTATTACCTTGCCTTTGGCTCTCAATTAGCACCCAGAACCTCAGAAAACTTGGGCCAAGTTTGGTTAGCTTTCCGGAAACTATTTTTTGTTCTTAAAATTTCAAAAACACCCAAAATCTGTTTGTTTAGTATTTTTGTTCTCAAAATTTTGAAAAAAAATAAAATTTGAGTCAAAGAAACAAAAAACAAGTCTAACTTGTTTTCAGAGTATTCTTTGAAAATTTTGAAAATAAGGAGAACAATTTTGGACTTTATTGAGGTCTGCCCTTCGAGTCTCCTTAGCAGCAAATTTCTTCATTCCTTTTTTTTTTTTTTACTTCTTCCTCTCTCATAATATATAATATATATATACTTATATACTTATATATATATATATTATGAAATTGTCAATATAAAAATAAATTTTTTACATTTTTTTATTAATATTTGAATTACTGTTCAAATATATATTTAAGCTGTCCAAACAGGTTTTACTATTTTCTGTATTATAAAATTATTTTTGAAATTATCTAACCAAACAAGTTTTTTATCTCAAAAAATATCAAAACCACTTTCTTAAAACTCTTCTCAAAAACTAGTTTCAGATACTAGTTTTTGAAACGCAAACCAAACAGGCCCTTACTTTCCACAATTCTCCTGTAACATTCTCCTGAAAATCTTGCAACCAGTCAGCTTCTGAATAAGCATATTCCAACCATTTCCTCTTCTATAAAGCATACAACCCTGCATCCCCGACTATACAAGCTTTTCATCTCAATAACATCAACTGTCAGCATTTTTCCAAGTTTTCCAAACTTGTCCAACATCATAGAGTCAATACCCATACAGTGCAGTTTGTTCAACTAGTTCTCCATGCTTGTGCAGTATATTCATTTCCCTAACAATGTGGTCTTGTTTCTCAAAGGGAAAGACATATGTAGGAATAAATATACCACAGGAAGTTTGCCACACAACTATGTTCAAACATATGAAATCTAAATAACTCAATTCTGTAACTCACATTTTCAAGAGAACAAAGATCAACCAAAGCTTCAATCAAAGCCTCCAACTTTTCCGTATCATTATTTATCTGCAATAAAATTAGTTAAAGATAACAAAGAAAATTAAGCATTCGTAATGCAAACCCATTTAGTATACTGTAACAATATTATCCTGCGAAACCATGATATGACCCGAATTTCTTGTCATGTTCAATTTTTTATTTAGAATGTATCGTCTGATATTGTTTCACGACACCATAACCTATGTGTCTCAGAGTTCTCCAAGTCGATGGTTGATTCTACGACCTTAAACCATTTATGAGGTTATATATGGCACAGTTCAAGGGCAACATTGTGAGCAATTAAATATATTTGAAGAAAAGTCAAAAAACTAAAAGATGCTTTGATGGCAAACAAATATTTATTGTAAAGAAAAATCTGATAATTGAGAAATAGTTGAGCCTGCAATACCAAAGCTAGAATAGTCTGGTTAAAAATAAGGATTTGTAGTAAAAAGTTATAAACAACTAATATAAATATAGAGGGAAAAAAAACAAGAACAGTAGAACGATACTCAAAAATAAGAATGAACCAAGAGAAAATGCAAGAAAATAAAGCTCAATATAATGTTCCATGTTTTACACTTTTTGTGTGTGTCTGTACCTTTTAAATTAGATCTTGGTCTTGATAAGGCAATTATATAACTCCGATTTGTTTGACTTTTGCATGCATGATAATCACTAAAGTAGCATTTGATCTAATAAAGGGGCAGGTGATAAAGATTTGCATCAGGTGGGATGACTCAAAATAAGTATGAACTTTTTTGCATGGACCCAAATTCTTTAAGGATAGGGACCTGAGGCACGAGAATCCCTTGGAATAAGACCCAAGGGGAAGAAAAAGTTCATAATAATAAGGGTAAAAAGGATGGAAATTCAGCAAACTTACAAAATGATGGGACGACAAATAACATATTGAGCAGGTGAAAAAAAGGAAAGAAATAAGATAAAATAAAGAAGGCAGCAACGTAAGATAGGAAAATGCAAATGTGCTATGTAACAATACATGCTGATAAACATTGTGCAAAATTGATGCTTACAGACACATAATATTTCCTGGGTGCAATCATGATAAAGGTGGATAATAGAAAATGATACAAGTGACAAAAATATAGGGTCATGATAAGCAATTTCAACTGCAAGAAATTTCCTGATACTGAAACTTGATACATGTAGTAAATGTGGCAGCATATACTCGTGAGCATGCCTTGGATTAATGTAATTGCATCATTAAATATGTACCTTAGTCAACATAGAGTAGAAATGAGATAGTTTGGCAGCTTCAGCAGAATGAGCAGGCGGCATGTGGTCCTGGGAAGCCACGTCAGAAGAGCCCTCATTTGTTTTGTACACCGAACTCGAGTTCAAGCATCCAAGAAGGATACAAAAATCTTTTTCACAAGCCATAAACAACTTGGAGACTAGACTTCTTCCATATTTTTGGCCAACTGTTGAGTCCCAAACACCTAGCAACTTGCTTGGACAACGATGAGACGTGGGCAAATCACTTTCCAAGGTTAATTGGGTCGATTCATCAGTTTTATCTGTCTGAACACCTACGGCTTTACATGCTGATTTACCTGATGCTCCCAAAAAAAAACGTCAAGAGCAGAGAATTCAAAGAAATAGAGGAAAACAATATAATAGACACTACAAAGTCAATGGTTTCAACTTTTAACATATCTACAACCAACTGCTCACCTATGTGAATCCTGGAGCCAACCTGATCATTTGAATAGTTCTCATTTTTACATCCAGCAGAGATCCCAGGATGTTCCCTACCACATTAGCTTATCTAGTCAACAACTTTACTACAAATTTTTGATGATATATACAATGTAACATCCAGGTGTATAGTGCATCTATATGTACAAGGAATTTGGTGTTCCATGACACAAATAAACATATAGTAATAAGGAATTTAACACGTGAGCTTCAAGGGTGCCAAAAAGGCCATGGTCTTTTTTGTAAGTAATCACGATCCGAGCCTAATCTCGTAGGATATGAATGCAAGAGGATCCAAGATAACAAATGACCATTTTAACAGCACCAAAATACCCTCGCTCACATGGTTTGTATCAACACTATTATGAAATGCAAAAAGCAATCCAATGTTCAAGGCTCTCATCATTGTGGGGCATAAGGAGAGTTAGATTTTGGCATCATTGCCTCCACATGTGGACAGATTGCTTGTGATCTTCCCCATAACCTCACCATTATGAAACGTCAATTTAGCAAACACCTCGTAACTTGTGTTCGTGTCCGACCTCAACACCACCATGAATTCCTAAAGACAACNGAGAGTTAGATTTTGGCATCATTGCCTCCACATGTGGACAGATTGCTTGTGATCTTCCCCATAACCTCACCATTATGAAATGTCAATTTAGCAAACACCTCGTAACTTGTGTTCGTGTCCGACCTCAACACCACCATGAATTCCTAAAGACAAACTAATGCACGAATCTCCCCTCACTGTAGGGTACAAAAAAGGTTAGATATACACAACTGTACCTCTGTGTGAGAAAAGTCGATTTCCTTGACTCAAACTCATGACGTTTGAGTCACAACAGAACAACCTCACTATTAGGCAACATTAATTTACAACAATGTCTAACTNAAAAAAGGTTAGATATACACAACTGTACCTCTGTGTGAGAAAAGTCGATTTCCTTGATTCAAACTCATGACGTTTGAGTCACAACAGAACAACCTCACTATTAGGCAACATTAATTTACAACAATGTCTAACGTTTTTAGCAAACCTAACTCAAGCTTTGTTATGTTCTACACTAAATAGTAAATACACTCACTTTACCCAAAGATGACGTAATGCAATACCTCAGTATGTAGATTTTATTTTCACTTTTCCAAGCCTCAGAAATATAGAAGCGCACCTTATAGTGCATTATGTGCAAACAAAAAAATGAGCGTATGCTATACAACTAGGTTCATAAATAGCAATGCCAATGATCTGTGACAAACAAAAATGGTGCCTTTTGGACAATCTCTGGAAGCCAAACCAAATCTATCAAACTAAAGCTTTGACAAAAAATTATTCATTTCTACATTGGCTAAATAAAATCTGTGTGAGATAAGGGAGAGAGCCCATAAGTAATTTCTTAAGGGCATGTGCTTCCAAAATTCTAAGAAATATTTCATGAACCTAATTTCATAAACCTAGAACAAAACGTGCATTTTATCAATGAGCAAAAAAAATAGCCTAGTTCAGATTACTCGAAAAATAGACACGTGTCTTGAACATGATCTNATTCTAAGAAATATTTCATGAACCTAATTTCATAAACCTAGAACAAAACGTGCATTTTATCAATGAGCAAAAAAAATAGCCTAGTTCAGATTACTCGAAAAATAGACACGTGTCTTGACCAATTAAGCTAAGGGTTTTAATTGATAGGGTTGAGAGCAAAAGAAAGATGGGTGATATACACACTAATTACTAAAGTAAATGAGCATGGAGTTGATTTTTGAGAGCACCCAAAACATTACACATACGGACTTCAGTCAAGAGAACTAATTTCATGATACTCAATACTTCATATGGTAATAACAGGTGTTTCAGAGCAACTGTTTGACAATGTAGCACAAACTGACAAAAGAAATCTCTTCCAATCTACTTATTAAAAAAAGATATCACTTCCAAGTTCCAACCAACATCTTAAATGTAAGGCGATTATTACCATTGCTGTTGTTTTCGTCTATATTCGCTTCACTAATTCTTTTCTTTCCCCTAGTTTTCTTCCTTCTATGGTGACCTGCCATCTGCATAATCATCACCAATGACTCCTTTGAGGTGCTATGCACCACTTCTTTCATTACTAATGTTTCTCATCTTCATTATCCTATATAGCATGTTGTCCAAACAAGTGGTGATGGTCTTCCAGGTAGATGACATGGCAAAATCTTAATTATATGAATTCTTCAAAACTTACCTATCGTAGTTTGAAATATAGATGAGGCTTAATATACCACAAAACTAATTACATCAGTTGAGTTCACACTATGCTTTTTTCAGATTTCCAATCCTATAATCTTATGAAGTGCCGTCTAAAACACACACTCCATGGAAAGGGTGTGTCAGATGTATATTTTTTAGTTCATTTCAGATGATCGCTTTCTTCAAACTCCACCATGAAGGGCATATTCAACTTACAAGCTTGTATTCTTTTCGCACTGCTCTTCAGCATCTTTTGCTTCAATCTGAGGAAATACAGATTTAAGTTGTAAGTCTTTCTTGTCTCTTTTCTTTCTGAGTTCTGAACACTCCTGCTCCTGTAGTTGTATAACAATTTGTTGGTCAGGAAATGATTCATCATACATGAATTCCAGAAAATTTAGCAGATTCAAGCATTATAGTTTTGATTACTAGCACAGGACGAAGGAATAACAATTTAAGTTCTACATATCACTCTTGAGGATACGAACAGAACTATACCAGATCAATTTACAGAAACAGATATACCAATATAGATGAAAAACATGGTGCAGCCCTCTACAATAAACACTTACAAACTCCAAACTAAACTCAACAGTTGAAAATCAGGTACTGTTGTGAAGAAAGTCTTATCTACGAATTAGTGAGGCATACCCTGCCCTATCTAACTTTTGCACCATCCAGTCATTCAAGATTTCTCACCTTAAACTCCAATGGGCTACTTATCAAAGGGAAAAAAGAATTCTACCTGCTACTTCCCAACATACTTCTAATTTTAATCCAGGAAGAAACCACCGTCTGTAATAGTATCATACCCACCTCAATCCCAAAACCTGACACTATTTGTTCTTCTCACTCAAATTCCTCTTCACCTAACTTCTATGCTCCTCTATGAAAGTACATTCAAGATAGTGTGAGGCGACAAAAATGGCCCTTATTCAATAACTCCGTCATCTAACCTTTACCGTCTCGATGTGATTATTTACTTCTCCTATAAGATAGTGTGCAGTCTCATGGAAGGAAGTTGATGGATATGATACTATGTATTATCTTAGCCACCATACTCCATTTTTATTATCCTGCAGGAAGATGATCACAACGTATTATCTTAGCCACCATACTCCATTTTTATTATCCTGCAGGAAGATGATCGCAAATAACAATCGATGAAGATTAATATTAAACATTCCCTGAATTTAAGACATGGCCCTCTAAAACACACACTTTTAATGAGAGGAGGTAATTTGCCAGTCAGAGGAAGAAAGAAAGAGTAGAAAAGATCCCACCAAATAACCCATAATGATATTCTTCTTGTTAGCAACCCATATTATTACTCCATTTTTTCCCAGGAAACATTATTACTATATTTTTTTCATATACAAAGATTACACCATTGGCAAATACACTAATCTCTATCAAAAAAAAATAAAAAAATACTGAGGAGGTCAAAATAATTATATTGCAATTCGTGTTTCCTGAAGAAATGTACAACAGATTTCCCACTTATAAACATGTGGTTGCCACCATTTGTATAAATTAAAATACGCGTAAGGGCAAAAAATACAAACATATAAACACACATACATTCATTATGGACGTACCAGATGAGTAAGCTGCTTTGAAACACGACCCAACTCCCTCTGCAATAACAAATTATATCAACAATTGTCAATGAACAAATAATTTCATACATATTCAAACATTGTACATCTGAATTTATAAATATATCGTAAAATTTCAAATCTGATAGACGAAAATCCCCAACCTTTAATCTGTCAATTTCGGATTCTTTCTCATTCTGAGGCCCGCGAAGATACGGAATCGCGGCGAAATTTCCTTGACTGAAACCAATGCCATTGGTTACCTGATCTAAATTCTTTTTGTGATTGTCTTTGACTCTCTGGGACAACTCGCGAGGAGGCGAATAGCTAAGGTCGCCGAAAGACGCCGCCGTATGCGGTGGTGGCGGTGNTTGACTGAAACCAATGCCATTGGTTACCTGATCTAAATTCTTTTTGTGATTGTCTTTGACTCTCTGGGACAACTCGCGAGGAGGCGAATAGCTAAGGTCGCCGAAAGACGCCGCCGTATGCGGTGGTGGGAAGTGTTGGGTTGGGTTTGTTGAGGACAAGGCTTTTTCTTCGAGTTCGATGATTTGGTCTAATATATCTGGGGGCCAATCTTCTTCAAAACTCTCTTCCGCCATTGCTCCCTCTCCGTCTATGGTGTTCTTTCCGTATTCGAATATCGAACAGAGAACAGGTGGGAACCGGCGAATTTGGAGTGATTTGGGCTATTCAGGTTATATTGCATTTTGATAATATCAATTACACCCCTTGAGTTGTTTGATAGTGTCACTAACCCTCTATTATTTCAGAAATGTCACACTCCTGCCACTTTTTTTTTTTTTTTGAACAGGTCACTCCTGCCACTCAATGCTTTCTAATAGAAGATACAGATGGGATAAATTTTAGGATTTTTTGTACTTTGTATCTTAAAATATTTTAAGTTTTTTATTTTATACTTTTAAAGATTAATTTTTTTTCATTATATCTTCAATGTATCAAAAGTATTTAATGTGGCTTTAATAATTGAAAAAATAACGAAAACTAACATAAAGGTCATGTTATAATACTTTTGATATATTGAGGATATAATGTAAAAACTTTTATATTTAAAAGTACAAAATAAAAAATTTAAAATCTTTTAGGGTACAAAAAGCAATTCATCTTAAGTTTTGTAAGTAAGAATTAATCTCACTTTATACCCTAAAAGAAACTCTAATTCTTAATTTACACCTTAAAGAATTAGATTATCAAATTATACTCTCAATGTTATAAAATAAGCTCAATTTTATCTCAAATTACACCCTCAATTTTATCTCAAATTACACCCTCAATGTTGCCGAAGGATCTTAGTGTTAATTACCTAAAATTAATATTTCTCATTATTTTTTAGATAGAATTCTATTTTACACCCTTAAAATTTTAAAAAAATTATTTTATTTCCTTAAATATTAAAATTTTCGTATGTTACCCTTTATACTACAATATGTCCCTTTCGTTAACTTTCATTGCTCATTTTGCCAACATAAATGGGGTCATTTTGTAGAATGAGTATTAAAAATTAATGGAAGTGTCACATTATAAAATTTTAAGACATTCAGGGTATCACATATGAAATTTAATATTTAAAGGTATAAAATAAAAATTATTAAATTTTTTGGAGTACAAAATATGATTTTTTTTTCCACCGGTTTGGAGTATTCAGGAATTCACAAGATAATTTTGTCGGTCCCGCATAATTGTCAGGATTCATATTTTAAGTTTACTATTCGTCGTGTTGCCCCCTTGTGCTAGGTCGATTCCCCCTTATTTTTATGTGACCTTCATGTCGGGTTCGACTCCTCTACGATAAACAGGAAATCGCATATCATATGGTTAAGTGGAACGACGCTGATGGTGCTCAGAATTTGCAGCTGAAGCCCAATGGGTATGGTGGTGATGTTCTAGGTAGATTACGCGGATTATGGATTGATTTTTTGTGCACATGGTTCACCTTAACTGATAGATTAAGGCTACGTCCACTATCAATGGAGTCTCTTACTCCCTAAGTTTGTGTATTATTCAATCGAAGGTGTACACAGAGGAATTGGGGACCTGGAGTCCTCTACAAGGAGTGAGTATTTAGTTTTTCTCTCTCGGTTTTTCTTAACTCTTGAATGCTTAAGGGAGGAAGAAGAGGGCCCCTCCCTCATTTTCTTGTTGGGTGACCGCTTTCTATTTATACTAGGATCTTCTTAGGGTTTCTGGTTGTGCTGATCCCACGAGTTCTTCCTTCTGTGCCCTGCTGCTTCTTCTGCCACCGTCGCCCCTGTTCATCCGGTGCTGCTGCTGTTGCCACGATCTCTGGTGACTTGGTGCTCCACCTTCTCTGCTCTGAGACTATCGCATGTGTCAGGAGTGGTCTCTTGGACCCTTAGGATGTGTGGTCCCCCACGAATGACCCAAAAATGACATTTGGACTTGGTTTTCAACCTTTGGGTTGCTCATTGATTGGACTGGGCCTAGATTGCTAGGTTATTAGCCTTCTGCTGATGTTGGGTCCTTTTTTCTTCGCTCCTGGCCCTTTGGGCTTGTTAGGCTCCTGGGCTATGGAGATCCAATCCTTGAATTTCGTCCATATCAATTGGCCCCCAGCCCCAGGTCATGAGGATGTCGTCATCTCTGGTCTGGAGTTAAAAAATAATTTTTCTATGCTCGTCATGCGACGACTGTGCTTAACTATTGGCCCTGATCAAGATTGGGTTGCACCTCTATTTGCCAGTGATGATGGGATGGTAGTACACACGTGTTAACATCGGATGAGCTCGTGAGTACGACTTATGTGGCGTGTCTCGTCATTTGTCTGTCACGAATTAAATGCCTCACACATACATACATATACATACATTCATCTAAGGGGGAAAGGTCCCTTGGTCTTTTTATTCGGTGGTTTCGAGTCTCGTCTTCCTTCGTGCTCCTCTCCTCCTCTAGGCTTTTAAAGCGTCTTACTCCAGACTTTTTGGTGACTTAGGACATCCTTGTCTTTGGTTCCCTTATATTCCTAGCTCTTTACTAGGTACGCGTTTCTTCCCTTCGTCTTTACTGTTTTGACCTGGATCCATTCAACCTTCCCTGGTGGGGTTTTGGATTCCATTTTCTAATCTGGAGGTTTAGTTACTTTAGAGACCACTCCGGTGACCTTTTTTCCCTTTCACGATTTGTAGGTCATTCTTTTGTGGCGAGGGTATCCTTCCTTAGGGCTTGGTGCCAAAAACCTTTGTTTTTGATGGATTGTGCCTTGCACTTACCTTCCTTCACTTTGGTGTACGATCCGACCCTTTGATGGGGAAGTTCGTCGTTTCTTCTTCCGAGTCAGAGTTTATTGACGAAGAGACTGAGGAGACCACAACAACTTCCTTTAGTGGCTGCTCTTTTTCTGATGATGATGAGGCTCCTAGGTCTATTTCCAGAGTTTCATCTTCAGTGCCTCTAGCCGAAGCTAGGCCCCTTTCTGCCTTGCCTCTTGGTCCTCCTACTTAGTCGAAGAAGAGGGAGTTCAGACCGGTTTCACCCCCCATTTCTAAGAAAAGGACCCGTCGTAAGCAATCCGACCTGACCTGTTGTGCGAAGGGTACCTCTAATTGCCTTGGTGATGGGGATTTGGAAGAATTAAGGCGGGAATATTGCTTCCCCGACTTCGTGGAATTGCACTCCCCCGAGAAGCACGAGAGGTGCAACTCTACTCTTCTTGGGCTAACTTGTTTCTTCGAGTCCGCATCCCGGGCTGGTCTTAGATTTTCTGTCCATCCTTTTATCCGGAATGTTCTTGGTTTCTATAATGTTTGTCCAGCCCAGCTTTCTCCCAACGGTTGGGGCCTCCTAGTTGGTTTCCTTGTTTATTGGTTTACGAGTGGGAATGTTTTTCCTCCCTCTATTCGAGAATTCGTTTCCCTTTTTTAGCTAAATTCTTCTCCCTCTCTAGGTTTCTTGTATTTTGCCAAAAGGGTAAAGGTGAAGACTCTGATTTTTAGGCTCCCTTCTTCTAATAAGGGGTAAAAATTGAGGTTCTTTTTTGTTAGAGGCAACTCTTGGGAGCTGTTAGGGGAGCCCGCGCGATGCTCCTTGTGTTCCCAGGTCTTGGGGGTTCCAAGAAATACTCGTAAGGCTACTCTATTGGTCGTGTTTCCCTTTATTGCTCTTGTTTCCTTATCTTTAACTTTTGATCTGGTTTGCAGATTTTTGCCCGGCACTTGGCACTAAGGAGGCATATTGAGTTGCTAGAATCGAGGCCTTTGGGTTAAGGTCTTTCTTTGACTTGGTGATCGACAAGAACCTTGCAAAGCATGAGCTCGGGCCACCCGTTGACCAAGTCTTAGAGGTTGTACCATCTCCTGTCTCCCCGCCTGAAACCATGGACCAAGACCTGATCATCACGCTGTTCTCAGATACCGAGCAGTCGAGAAATAGGAGAAAACTAGTGAAGGGGTCTTAGTTGCCTTCCAAGGAGGCGTCAGTCTCTGGGCCCACGCCCACTTCCTCAAAGCAGAAACGTGAGGACCTTCCCTCCCAAGGGAATGTTGTCATGCCCATGCTTCCTTCTGAGCTTTCTAAGGGCGCACCCATTTTGAGGGGACTTCAGTGGATAAGCTTGAGGTTTTCGGCCAGTCATCTTGCCCCTCCTAAGGCGGTTTCTTCGAAGGGCAGAAAGGAGGAGTTCGCCCCTTTAAAGTCCAAAGCGTAGGGGGCAGTTTTCTTCTCGATCCCAAGGCCGCGGTGACTGCCCTATCAAAGCTGATCTCCACGTCAGATCCTCAGGCGGCCATGAAGGTTCCTTTTAAAAGGAAAGTCCAGCACACCATCTAAGGTCTGGCCAAGGTATCTTCCCTTTCCACCTATGCTCTTAGTCCTTCTTGAATCCCTTAACTATTTCCTATGTTGATCGACCTTCTTTTTCCTTCTCAGTCGCTCGCCTACGTGAAGATGTTGGACTTTCACCATGAGCAGGACCTCTAGAAGGCCAAGGATGCTCTTGACGTCATGACGACTAGCAAGGATACCGCCAAGGGGAAGCTGAAGGTTCTAGTGGCCAAGGTTTCTAAGTTGAAGAGGATTAACGACGAGTTGGACTCCCGTCATCAGGACTNTTTCCTTATCTTTAACTTTTGATCTGGTTTGCAGATTTTTGCCCGGCACTTGGCACTAAGGAGGCATATTGAGTTGCTAGAATCGAGGCCTTTGGGTTAAGGTCTTTCTTTGACTTGGTGATCGACAAGAACCTTGCAAAGCATGAGCTCGGGCCACCCGTTGACCAAGTCTTAGAGGTTGTACCATCTCCTGTCTCCCCGCCTGAAACCATGGACCAAGACCTGATCATCACGCTGTTCTCAGATACCGAGCAGTCGAGAAAGAGGAGAAAACTAGTGAAGGGGTCTTAGTTGCCTTCCAAGGAGGCGTCAGTCTCTGGGCCCACGCCCACTTCCTCAAAGCAGAAATGTGAGGACCTTCCCTCCCAAGGGAATGTTGTCATGCCCATGCTTCCTTCTGAGCTTTCTAAGGGCGCACCCATTTTGAGGGGACTTCAGTGGATAAGCTTGAGGTTTTCGGCCAGTCATCTTGCCCCTCCTAAGGCGGTTTCTTCGAAGGGCAGAAAGGAGGAGTTCGCCCCTTTAAAGTCCAAAGCGTAGGGGGCAGTTTTCTTCTCGATCCCAAGGCCG